TCTGTTGCTTTGCCAAGCTCTAACTACAGCCAGTTTTGTTTGTGGGTCTTTCTGCCTTTAGTTATGCCTTCAGCAAGTGAAATGCATGCTCAATTGGGTTGAGATCAGGTGATTGACTCTACCATTGCAGAATATTCCACTTCTATTCCTTCAAAAACTCCTGGGTTGCTTTTGCAGTGTGTTTTGGATCATTGTCCATCTATACAGTGAGGAGCCGTCCAATCAACTTTGTGGCATTTGTCTGAATCTGGGCTGACAGTATCTCTAAACACTGTAGAATTCATCCGGCTGCTTCTGTCTTCTGTCACATGATCAATAAACACCAATGACCCAGTGCCACTCGAGGCTATGCATACCCATGCCATCACACTGCCTCCACCATGTTTTACAGATGATGATGTGTGCTTTGGATCATGAGCTGTTCCAAGTCTTTCCACACTTCTTCCCGTCACTCTGGTACGGATTAATCTTAGTTTCATCTGTCCAAAGAATGCTTTTCCAGAACTGGTCTAGTTTTTTGGGGTTTTTTTTTTTGTTAGAAAAGCCAGATTAGACTTTGCCGAAAAAAATCTATTTTTTTCTATTTTTCAGGCTTATGAATGGTTTGCATCTTGTGGTGAACCCTCTGTATTTGCTCTTGTGAAGTCTTCTCTTGATTTTAGACTTTGGCAAAGAAACGCCAACCTCCTGGAGAGTGTCCGTCACTTGTCTGGATGTTGTGAATGAGTTTTTCTTTACCTCAGAAAGGATCCTGCAATCATCCACCACTGTTGTCTTACGTGGACTTCCATGCCTTTTTATGTTGCTGAGCTCACCAGTGCGTTCTTCTTTCCTCAGAATGTACCAAACTGTTGATTTGGCCACTCCTAATGTTGCTGCTATCTCTCTGATGGATTTGTTTCTTTTTTAAGCCTTACAATGGCGTGTTTCACTTGCATGGACAGCTCCTTTGAACACATGATGTAGGTTCACAGCAATAGATTCCAAATGCAAATACTTAGAATAAACTCCAGACCTTTTACCTGCTTAATTGATGAAGAAATGACGACGTAGCCCACACACTGGCCATGAAACCGCTTTTGGTTCAATTGTCCAATTACTTTTGGTCCCTTGAAAAAGGGGGGATGGCTACTCTTAAGAGCTGTAATTCCTAAACCCTTCCTCCAAATTGGATGTACATACCTTCAAATTAAATCTGAGTGTGCACACTTTCAGCCCATATCCATTATATAACTATAGCTTGAATATGTTTTGGTAAATACCTGAAAAAAACTAAAATTGTGCCTGTGTCCAAATATATATGGACCTAACAGTAATTGCAAATGTATGCCCAATGAAACCCTCTGTTTTTTAACACAAATTTACACAGGGTTAATGTGGTTTGATTGCAGGCTAGCTGGTAAGTGTGCTGGGAAATGTTGTAATGTGTGTTGCCCTTACATGTGCACCTTACTGCAAAGGCTAGTTATAAATTGGGGTGGCTTCCATCTTTTTGTAATGTCTCTTGCATCTGCCTGGGGACCATCCTTAGGCTAAATAAGAGTGTGCTTGGAAAAGTAAATACATATCTAATGGGACTCTCCAGCATTACTCTAAGAATCTGCTGTCTTCTTACATAAACAGGAAAGTGCTCCTATTTTCTGAATTTCTAGCAAATGTTTGTGCCCACAAGAAAATTACACCTCTTGAATCCTGTGGAAGGAATTTCGTGTTTACAAAACCTCAAAAAAATTTAAAAAAAAAAAAAAAAAAAAAAAAACTTATGAACCAGATTTCTTAAGCTAAAAAAAAAAAAAAAAAACAAAAACACTTTCTGCACTACAACCATACTAGTATTCAAGCCCTAAACATCCTTATTCCTCTTTTGCAACTTCTTTTATTATAGGTTTTAATTGCCTTAACTTGGTAGTTTAATCTGCAGTTTATTAGGCTAAAGCTGGTTCATAGAAGTCACTTTTTTTTCCCCAACTGGCTGGTCGAATGAAAAAGTGACCCGATTACCCCATCCAGACATTTGAGGCGCATAAAGGAATCTTCCCCCGCTGTGCCTGTATTCTGACAGCAGGAACACTTCCCTGCCATAAGAGTACACAGATCAGCACTGTGGTCTATAACCACAATACTGATCGAGCAGACATTTTCCAACAGGGCAGCTGTACAGAAGTCAATTAGCAGATTGGATTTTGGTCAATCACAGTGGCCATACATGGATCGAAATTTATCCCAGTCCCTGCTGAATGGGGCGAATTTTGATCCACGTATGGCCAGCTTAACTTTACTTTTCTTCCTTAGAGAATGTACTTAAATATCTAGTTGGTCTACCTAGAAGTCTGCCGCTGTTACTCTAAATTAGGAAAAAATACTTTACTTAAGTCATTGAGCAGAGACTGGACACACTAAAAAGGCATCTATGGACCACATCCATGAATCATGCAGCATATATCATCTGATATATTTCACCCTCAAAAGACAAACAGGGAAATGCACTTTAACAGTGGTCCTTTCAACTAAGGGTCAAGATTATGTTACCGTAATGTAACTGTAGAAAAAGCAACATATTCCATACACGCAACAGCAATATATAGCAAGACCAAAATGCAGTAGTAGAAAATGCAGCTCTGCTGCAATATCCAAGAAAACGTAGACAGCTACCAGATAATATACACACAGAGGAAAGCATCATATGAAAGCTCGACTCCAGCACCTGATAATTCAGTTACTGCCTGCACTGCCAAAGTTCCTAAACATGCTGGATTAAGTCCTGCCTTCCTAGAATAGTCTTATGTATTGAACCCTGAAGAAGAGCAATGCTGTTTGACAAGCCATCTATGCACTAAAGAGGTAGTAAATACTGCTGGTACACTTGTACCTACAGGTAAGCTTATAATAAAGCTTACCTGTGGGTACAAGGAATAAACGTGGACCGTTTAAGAGATATTCTCTGTTACTTCAGCTGGTGACATCATTGTCATGTGCTTCATAGGACTGTGCAGCAGGAGTGAAGTTACCAGGGCTCAGCCATTCAAACAGCTGAAGTCCAGTGAACCCGGAAGGAAGACCAAGTGAACATGGAAGCCCTTTCAGAAGTGACAGGACACCGTTTGAGGGCTTTGTTTTAAGTATTTCATAATGTGCTAGTATGTGAGGAATAGTACACATTATGCTATTATCTTGCAGGAGGAAATTCTTTTTTGAAATGTTGCTATCACTTTAAATTGACAATAAGTGACCAATGCTTGGCTTCCCTAGCAGAACTGCCAATAGGACTGTGTTCAATCTTGTGCACCTTCATCTCCACATCCAAAGAGCGATGAAGTGACAAAGGGAAATCACAAAGTGACAAAGTTTATAAATATTTCCAAATATAAAGCCCTATAAAAAGTATGTGTGGGGGGGGGGAAGAAACTCTGCAAGCATTGCTACTAGCACAAATGTTCTGAAAATCTTTAGCAATACATTGTGGGGTGCACAACATAATACTTTCATCCACTTCTGCATTTCCAAGTACTGGAATATGGCTATATTATTTTTTAGGTGTTTTTTGTTAATAAAATGCCAAAAATTAATTGCAAATATAGGAAGTTCCAGCTCAAATGCAGCTAATCCCTTAACTGATCATACCCGAATGTGACAGAAAAATCACTGAAAAACAGTCATCACTGTATACACACTTTGGGCCTGTAAAGCTAGTCTTCATTTGGAATCTCTCCCCTCCAATACTCTACCCCACATACTCCCTTCTGGTTGAACACTTTCCTTTCCCACTTTGCTACAATTCCTGACCTGACAGCCTGGGCCAAATATAAAATAAAAACATTGGAACACATCTTTGGACAATTGTTAACTCCCCTTCGCAATTCTCCAATACAAATTTAATTTGCCCTCACATTATTACTATAGATACCTTCAGGAGTCGATTTCCAGGCCAACAAGTAACTCTTGAGAGTTAGAGGCTATCCTTCCTGGGCCAGATTTGGAGAAACCTATATATCGGCACTGTACCAATACCGCTTAGTGGCGGCAAGAGTATCGACTCTACAACAGAAATGGTGGCTAGATATCCCTAGTCTGGATCGTGAAGACTGGTCTGAGAAATGGGATTCTCCTTTTTCTCCACTAGTAGCCACATTAATACATTATAAAATTTTGCACCAGGCTTATTTCACCCCACACCGGCTACACAAGATGAAGCCCTCACTCCCCTTCAGCCTGTTGGTGCTGCTCACATCAAACCAGTGAATTTTTTCATATTTTCTGGTCCTACCCTGCTATTCAGCTGTATTGGCAAAAAGGTGCTACAAATTATTGGAATTATTGGAAATACTGCACAAATTATAGTAACCCTTGAGCCAAAATACTGTCTGCTGATCCTGGTAGAACCATTGGCTCACACAGTGGCAAACAGTACCCTCTTGAATCTTCTGTTATTTTATGCCCATAAAGCGATTACAATGTGCTGAAGCAAGTCTCTCTTCCCACGATAAGCTTCTGGATGCATTTGGTAAATTCCAACCTGTCACTGTACCAAACCACCTCCACTAATAGAGGGTGCCCTCGTAAGTTTCAAAAGATATGGTCTTGCTGGCTAAACAAAGCCTTTACTGCCACCATAGTGGAAGATAAAGTGGCCTATAAGTGTATGTATTAATTTGCGCTTCTAATTCTAAATGTCCCCTTATTCTTTCTGAATTCAACTGTAATTGCTTAAGCCTTGCATGCCAAGTGACTTAGTTTCAGTTTGATTTTATTGGCCCAACATAAGAAAACACAGATTTCTATTAAAAAAAAAAAAAAAAAAAGTCATCATAGCTGTTAACGGTAAAGGACCCATACCACCATACATAATACATCCTTAAGATACATTTACAAATTAGGTCAGTCGCTCAACGAACGCAGTCTTAAGCTTTTAAACAAGATTGGTGGTAAAAAAAAAAAAAAATCAAAATGTATTACTTTAGTGGGAAAACTCAATGTTACATGGAAATTTGTAATATACATACCAGCTTTCCCGATCTGCACTGCCAATTTAGTAAGTTTGCCTTGCAAAACAGACTTTTCTTTCTTTGGCAAATTGGTTTTCTTTTTGTCTTCTCCATCTCCACCATCTTCACTCTTAAGGGGCTGCATTTCCATGGCTGCACCATCCTGAGCTTTTGCTGCAGATACAACAACAACAATATAAAAACCTATATCCGCTGAATTAGATAGCAGTGCTCAACTTTTTACGTCTGGTTTCCAAAGTGTCCAACTATAAATATATAATATGAATATTTTTTTCCAGATGCAACTCAACAGATAATACTGCGTTACCCAGAGTTTTGGTACACTATGATGCATGCGAGTCTGGCGTGTGTGGTTCCAAAGTGCATTGGCAATGCAAAGATGTCAACCATCCCAATTTATAACTACACTACTCAAAAAAATTTAAAGGAATAGGAGTAAAGCATCAAGTCAATTAAACTCCTGGGATATTGATCTGATCAGTTAAGTAGTAGAGGGGGTTGTTAATCAGTTTCAGCTGCTTTGGTGTTAATGAAATTAACAGGTGCACTAGATGGGCAACAATGAGACAAATAGTTTTTACAGGTGGAGGCCATCAACATTTTTTTCCCTACTCCTCTTTTCTGACCGTTTTTCACCAGTTTTGCATTTGACTAGGGTCAGAGTCACTACTGGTAGCATGAGACGATACCTGGACCCTACAATGGTTGCACAAGAAGTCCACCTCCTCCAGGATGACAAAATCAATATGTGGCATTGCCAGGAGGTTTTCTATGTCTACCAGCACAGTCTCAAGAGCATGGAGGAGATTCCAAGAAACAGGCAGCTACTCTAGGAGAGCTGGACAGGGCCGTAGAAAGTCCTTAACCCATCAGCAGGACCGGTATCTGCTCCTTTGTGCAAGGAGGAACAGGATGAGCACTGCCAGAGCCCTACAAAATGACTTCCAGCAGGCCACTGGTGTGAATGTCTCTGACCAAACAATCAGAAACATACTTCATGAGGGCGGCCTGAAGTTCTCTAGTGGGTCCTGTGCTCACTACACAGCACCATAGCACTCGATTGGCATATGCCATTTAACATCAAAATTGGCAGGTTCGCCACTGGTACCTGATGCTTTTCAGATGAGAGCAGGTTCACCCTGAGCACATGTGAAGAACTGGAAAGGGTCTGGAGAAGCCATTCAGAATGTTATACTGCCTTGTAACATCGTTCAGCATGACCGTTTTGGTGGTGGGTAAGTGATGGTCTGGGGAGGCATATCCATGGAGGGATGCACAGATCTCTACAGGCTAGACAAAGGCACCCTTGACTGCCATTAGGTATCGGGATGAAATCCTTGGACCCACTGACAGACGCTGGTGCAGTGGGTCCTGGGTTCCTCCTGGTGCACGACAATGCACGGCTTCATGTGGCGAAAGTATGCAGGCAGTTACTGGAGAATGAAGGAACTGATACCATTGAATGGCCCCCACGCTAGCCTAACCTAAATTCAATAAAACACCTCTGGGATATCATGTTTCGGTCCATCCGACACCACCAGGTTGCGCGTCAGACTGTCCAGGATTTCAGTGATGCCCTGGTCCAGATCTGGGAGGAAATACCCCAGGACACCATCCACTGTCTCATTAGGAGCATGCCCTGATGTTTTCAGGCATGCATACAAGCATGTGGGGACCAAACTACTAAGCACCATTTTGAGTTGCTGCAATGAAATTTCAGCAAAATGGACTAGCCTGCTGTATCATTTTTTTCACTTTGATTTTCACAGGGTGTCTTCGAAATTCAGTCCCGAGTAGGTTGATAATTTTCATTTCTATCATCCGATGGAGCATATTTACATTCCTAAAACATTACCCAGTCCATATCAGTATAGCTATCCAGCTGGATATTTTTCCCCATTGAGATCTGATGTATTTTCAAAGTGTTCCTTTAATTTTTTTTGAACAGTAGTATTTGAAGTAAGGTGCACAAGAAAGGGCCTTGCACATCACAAAAAGAAAACCTCCCAGCACATATACCTGCTTGCCTGAAGAGAAAAGAAAATTGACCCTGTCTAACAATTCATGATAAAAACAGAGTGGTTTATTTGCACACATTTGCAAATATATGTGAAGCCACACTGCCTTGTGAAGGCTCTTCTGTATAGTGCAGCCCTAACTCATTTTTGAGAGTCTCCAAATTGGGGTATATTTAGCAGTGGATAAAATTAGGGACAAAGGCTAGTTATACATTGGGGTAGTTCCCATCTTTGTATAGGCTTGTTCGCTCGATCTGGCAAGGGGACAACATTGGGCATCTTCAGCTGCCATTGTTTTCTTGCTGGGTTCCAATGTACCCTTGCGCCTTTGAGTAGTGTAGCCACTGCTATAAATGCTCCAACTTGGGAGACTCAAAAATATGAGTTAGGACCGCACTACCCTGAGGAGTCTTGGTGAGGTGGTGCAGCTATCCCATATACTTGCAAATGTGTGACAAAATCCTTTGTTTTTAACCTCCCTAGTGGTCCGATTATGTCCATAATTCTGTGCTCGAAGCGGTTCCTTTTTATTGCATGGAAATATGTATTTTTTTATTGTAGGCCTGTAATTCTTAGGAATAACTCACTGAAATCTGTCCGAACAAGAGTCTAGTAAACATCCCGGGTTTGTTAAAATTTAAAACACGGAATCATAAATTATAATTTAATAAATAATCAAAAATAATATAATAAATTTAATTCAATAATATAATCAAACCAAAAAAACACTGAAATTTGAAATATAGCGCCAAGTTCGCACATCGCTGAGCAAAGTCGCAAAATCGTTTTCAGTGTCTGATGACAAATTTCCCCACGAATCATTATCACTCAATTCTGCAAGTGGTTCTGATTTACTATCGCTGTTCTCTAGCTTTTGACCTAAAGGGATGCTTTTTGGACGCCATCGGACATTTCTCAGTTTCCAGGCAGGGCACAGGACAAAGCACTAGGGACAAAATGTATGTGAAATTGTTTGATACAGTAATGTTTTACTATGTGATCTTAGTGTATTTAGTGAGTTTCACTTTTTGTCATTTTCAAATTTCCCGCCGTTCCGTCCCCGTATGTCCCAATGCTCACAAGGGATGAAACCCAGATGACAGATGCCGGCATCCGCCGGAGGACAATTCCGGGGACACTGCAGGAGGGACATTGCAGGAGCGCAGGTCAAGGTAAGTGAAGAACAGATCCGGAGCAGTGCCGCATGGTAAGCCCGAGTGTAGCTCGGGGTTACCGCTTGTGGTACTGAAACTTTACCCCGAGCTACACTCGGGAATACCGCCAGGGAGGTTACCAAACTGTTAGGGTAAATCGGTCTCTTTTTTCTCTTGCAGGCTAGCTGGTAAGTGTGCTAGAAATGTTTTTTTGTGATGTCCAAAGTGCTTTGGGGTGCAACTGAACAATGGCACTACAATGTACTAAGAGGTCTAATGTGAGCTACTGTACTTGCGTTACCACAATGCATTGGTGTGAAGAAGCCCTAAAAGGAAGAAAGGCAAGTCTTCACCAAGGTACAGAGCACTGGGAGGACTGCTATTCTTTATAGCAGTTCCAAATGTTAAGATATGGGAATGAAAAATTAGCTCACCTGTGGAATTTTGTTAAAGCTGTACAGTAGTTATCTAATGTGCAGTTTTTTCTATTGAATTCAAACAGAACAAAATTTGTTTTTAATGAACACCTGCATTACGCAACTCAAAGCAGATGCCTATTTACAGTGGTTGTAAAGGCTGAAGGTTTTTTACCTTCATGCATTCTATGCATGACAGTAAAAAAGCTTTATGTTCAGCATCCTCCCAGCACCCCCTAAATCTAGGTTCACACCTAAGGGTTTTCCACAGTGTTTTGCCTTTTGCACGAACGCACTACAGTCCATTTAACATGATTTCCTATGGGACACGTTAACATCTCTGCATTTTCACCCGATGCGTTTTTTAGAAAGGGTCAGGAATTTTTTATTTTTTTTTTTAACGCAAAAAGTCACATTTTTGGTTCTATTTACTTCAATGGAAACGCTGCAGAAAGGTATGTAGTGCATTTTTGCTGTGTTTTAATCTGTCTAGCAACAAGCAGAAAAATAAAAGCAAAAATGCATCAAAAATGTGGCAAAAACAAATAAATCGCAAAAAGCACTGCAGAAAACGGATCAAACGCAGACTGCATAGATGTGAAACTTAGCCTAATACTCACCTAAGCCCCCTCTCGATCCAGCGATGTATACTGGGAGTCTCGGCTATCCCAGGACTCCCTCTCCTCATTGGCTGAGACAGCAGTGGAAAGCTCCCGTCACTCACAGCCAGCGAGCCAATGAGGAAAGAGGGAGCGGGGCCGAGTGAATGGACACACAAAGCACCAGCACAGGCGCACGCCTGCCTGGGTGCCCCCACAGCATGCTGCTTGCTACGGAGGCCCCAAGAAGAGGATCAGGGCTGCTCTGTGCAAAACCATTAATAAAATAAATGATGCCTTTAGTATCACTTTGAAGCAGTGTTAAAAAGGATAATTACCTTTGTTTCGATTTTCGACTGTGCCATCTTGTTTTTTGCCTGAAAATAAACATGCATGAGTTTAGTTTACCATATAACTTGGTTAAGATACAGATAACATATGAAAAGTAATGCAATTATGTAAAGGACCTCCGTTCAGGACAAAAATGTTGTAGCATGGCAAATATTCCTTCAGTAACCATATATACAATTGATGCCAAAGTCCAGTTGTTGGTAAAACCATAAATGATAAATGGCAAAAAAAATGTGCATTTATTATTTTTGTCTGCAAGAGCCTGGAAAGCATTGCACCAGCGATCAGTAGATTGCTGATGCCATGCAGGTCTCCTGCAGACCTATCAGAATATCTGCTTGCCGTATGGGATGTATGAGCAAATAGATATTTTAACAGGAGGCTTCAATGAACTACGACGCTGCTAAGATTGCGGGGACTTGTAGGCACTCATTCACAGAACTCTGTGAATGAGTGATGCAGCTGTGGGAGCGGAGCCCTGAACAGCCACGCCATTTTCAAATCTAACAGATAGTACGGGAAAACTTCTCCCCGTACAGTCAGAGGAAGGGAGGGGGGGGGTGGGCGCGGCTGCAGCTATGGGAACATGTTAAATGGGTGAAACATGTAACATGTTTCCAAAGGTGAACTTATCCTTTAAAATTAAAAACAATGGGTGCAGCACCAACATAATTCTATTTAAAGTTTATTTTTCAAACTGTTACATCCCCGGAGCCAGAGCAATAGGAATTAACCAAAAGACAGCACAGCAGACACCTTTTCGTTTTCAGCTTCCTTTGTCTGGGTCAAGTAGCCAAATAGCTTCTTTGAGATTTAAAGTGGAACTTTGTCCACTAATTAATGATCTGCAAGCAGGCAGAATTTTTTATTTTTTTTTTTAAAATTCCATAATGTTTTATTGAGAATGGAGATGCAACATAACAAAAGAAAAGGTGTACATCTGAATACATTGTATACACGTTAGGCATAAAAGTCACACTGAACTAAGCGACATGTAATCCTGGAGCACACATTAAACATCGCCAATAAAAATAACTTCTCTCCAAAAACAGGCATATTGAGTAAGGGAAGAGCACGTATAACATGAAGTAGGTGATATTGCAATCCACTACTAACCAGAGTCATCTGATAAGCTCGGTTAGAGGAGCATTTAGGAAAGAAGGGCGAGTATAATGAATGGTGTCATACAGTGCATTGTGAATGATACTACGTGGGGCGGGGTCCTATTTGCCATGCAAGCTTCAGGGACTGTAGAGAGGGGAGGTAAGGGAGGGGTGATGAGTTGCAGTCTAGACCAGGGGTGTCAAACTGATGGCCCTCCAGCTGTTGCGAAACTACAAGTCTCATTATGCCTCTGCCTTTAGGAATCATGCTTATAATTGTCAGTCTTGCAATGCCTCATGGGAATTGTAGTTTGGCAACAGCTGGAGGGCTGCCAGTTTGACATCCGTGGTCTAGACCTTGAAACGTCCACAAGTACTAACGAAAGAGAGCCCAATCAAAGAACCAGGCCAATCGTTTAAAAACATAGCGCTACACACCCAGCAGTGTGTTGGATATAATGAAGTACAGTGAAAGGGGACAAAGATGGCCTATGGGTATGCATGTATAGTCCTCAACAGGGGCTCACTTCAAGTAGTGCATTGGTGGGAAGTTCCCATAAGACTGATAGATTTAGATGTAGTTTGAAAATGGGTCCAGCAAGACCAGATAAGAGAAAATTTTGTTGGGTTATCCTTAGACGCCGCAATCAATTTCTCCATATCTGCGATTCTCCCAAGGCGATGTTATCCCCACAGGACCGGGATGCAGAGTCTAGCAGCGTTTATCATATGCATTGCCAGCGACTTAAAATACAAACGGCTGGGGAGTGAGCTGTGATAGAGAAGAAGTTGGGCTGGGGTGTATTAGAGAGTGAGAGTGGAGACTGAGGAAGTAATGCAATGTACCTCCCTCCAGTAGGGTTGTATAGAAGGGCAACTCCACCAGATATGAAAAAGGGAGCCCACTTCACCACATTCCTACCATTTGTTGGACACTGAGGCGTTGAACCGATGAATCCTCGAGGGGGTTCTATACCAGCGTGAGAAGCGGTCGTACCCATTTTCCTGGGTGGAAACATTGACAGAACCTTTATGAGAGTAAGATTTGTTCCTAATTCGATGCTGTCATCTCTACAGCTAGGTCTCTTTACCATGCTCGGCAAGCAGGAAGTGTTTGTGGAACCTCAGTACCAAACAGTAGCAGATATGTTGGTGATACAAGGTGCCTTTGAGGTTCAGCTTTGACGCAGAGAATTTCAAAGGGGGTAAGAGGTCAACTCCATTTATGAAGATATGCTGGAGTCTGGAGAAAATGTTGTAGCTGGAGATAGATCCAGAAAGGGAAGGTCTGATTGTGCAAGGATCTGGCTAGGGACATGTGGGTCACCACCTGGCCCTTATGGAAAAAGTGCTTGGCACGCATGTGCTGATGGGGCCAATGACCGGCCAGAAAGGCGTTGTGCATGGCTGGAAGGAATTCTTGATTCAAGTGTAAGGAGGTCAATGGGCTAGGCATAGAGGAGATGGAAGCTTTACAGTTAGAGTAGAAGGTTTTCAGAGTTGGTCCTATGACTGGGTGTGAGAAGAGAGTATGGGTGATGTGTTTTGCATGAAACCAGGGGATAAGGAGATCTTGCGAAAAAAAAGTCTTCCAGGTTCACCCAGGCCTTACTAGATGAATGGACATTCCAGTCAATAATACTTGAGAGATGACAGGCCCAGGGATATTTTTGGGAGTCTGGGAGCCCAATCCCCCCTCTGGATTTGGGGGGCATCAATTGAGAGAAGGAAATACGCGGGTGTTTGTGATTCCAAAGAAACAGAACAGAGCTGCCAAGAGAGTAAAAAACGTGGGGGGCAGGTGAATAGGGAGGGCTTGAAACAGGTAGAGGACAGGAAAGTATGTTCATCTTCAGTATGGCTGCTCTCTCAAACCAGGAGAAGTCAGGTAAATGCCATTTCTGCAAGTCAGCTTGGAAAGAGCGGATAGCAAGGAGGAAGTTTTACATAGAGTTCGGAAAGATCACCTGGAAGTTGAATCCCTGGATATGTGATGGCATCCATTTTCCATGCAAAGGGAAAGTGTGATTGACAGAAAGAGACCAGTTCTGCAGGAAGGGAAATGTTCAAAGCATATGACTTGGAGAAGTTAATCTTTAAGTTCAAGATTTTCTGGAAATGTGCAAAATCCTTAAGCAGATTGGCCATAGTACGGGGTTCTGAGAGGAAGAGTAAGATGTCATCCACGTAAGCGGCGATCTTGTAATCCCGTGCCACAACTGAGATGCCCTTAACATCGTGATTAGAATGTCAGCAAAGAAGTGGCTCAAGCGTCAGGACAAACAATAGTGGTAAGAGAGGGTACCCTTGACGCGTGGCTTTCCGACAGGAAACGGCTTTCAACAGGTGGCCATTCACATGTACTCGGGCTTTCGGGTTGGAATAGAGGGCCATGATAAAATTAAAGCATGTGATCTCAGAGACCAATGGCCTTCAGGACCGCTGCCATATAGTCCCAAGCCATCCTGTCGAAAGCCTTACCTGTGTCTAGAGGAAGAATCCGCTGTTGTTTAAAGTGTGCAGCCAGTGATGAAGGTTCAGAGCCTTGATGATGTTTGGATATGGTGTCCCTCCCAGGAATAAAGCCCACCTGATCTATGTTAGAAAAAAGGCAGACCGGGTAGAAGACGATTAGCTAAAATTTTTCCATAAAGTTTGACGTCGACGTTCAGCAGCAATATGGGCCTGTAGTTGGTCACAGACGTCGCATCTTTATCTCTTTTGGGGACAGATTTTACTTTTTTTTTTATTGCAGAAGAGACAGAGGATTATTGAATTCCCCAGATAGTGACACTTCTCTGGATACAAGTCCTTTTAACCTCCCTAGCGGTCTGATTATGTCAATATTTCTGTGCTCAAAGCAGTACATTGTTTTCAATAGAAATATGTTTTTTTATTGTAGGCTTGTAATTCTTAGGAATAACTCAATGAAATCTGTCCGAACAAGAGACTAGTAAACATCCCAGGTTTGATAAAATTTGAAACATGAAATCATAAATTATATAATAATCATAAAAATAATACATTTAATTCAATAATGTAATTAACCCAAAAACACTGAAATTTGAAATAGCACGCCAAGTCGCACATCACTGAGTTCAGTCGCAGAATAGTTTTCAGTGTCTGATGACGAATTTCCCCACGAATCATTATCCTTCAATTCTGCAAGTGATTTTAATTTACTATCGCTGTTTTCTAGCTGGTCTAAAACCGCTTTTGACCTAAAAGGGACGCTTTTTGGATGCCATGAACGTTTCTCAGTTTCCAGGCAGCAAGAACGGTAAAAAATGCAGGCAGGGCACAGGACAAAGCACTCGGGACAAAATGTATGTGAAATGGTTTGATACAGTAATGTAATACTATCAGATTTTAGTGTATTGCATGAATGTTAAATTTTTACATTTTTGAAATTCCCGCCAGTTCCACCTCCCGTACGTACCGACGCTTGCAGGGAACAGAACCCAGAAACCGGATGCCGGCACCGGTTGGAGGACATGGCTGGGGAGACATTGCAGGACTGCAGGGCAAGGCAAGTGCTCGAGGGACCGCTGGAGAAACGCTGCAGTGTAATCCCGAGTGTAGCTCGGGGTTACCGCTTCTGGTTCTGAAAGTTAACCCCGAGCTACACTTAAACTACCTATGCCTAAATTCAGGCAAGCCTTTGCACCGGTTTCTGTACCAGTACAGGCCCATGCACCAGATTCAGGTAATTTACTCCCATCACTTTAAACAACCTGTCACTATGGCTGTGACTGATCCTTAAGGTAATATACAGAGATGCCAGCGCTGAAAGTGGGGCATTTTGTGCTGGAAAGCGGACATGAACGTGACAGCATCCCACACAGGGTTTATGGTTGCTAGAAAGCTGGCTTCCTACAAACCGATGACTCATCTCTGGTGCCAGTCTACTGGCAGGT